AAGATCTTTGATTCTTAATAAAGAAGATGCAAGTTAAAATATTTTATTCATTGGCATGATTAGGATATTAATGAATGTACATGAAAATCAATAAAAAAAATCTAGTTAATGCATTACAAAAGGTATAGAAGTTTCATCAATGCTATCCTCAAAATTCTAAACCTATTTTAGAATGACTTTTCTATTAAGTTTCTACTATAATATTGTATTATAAAGAAGAGAGTAAGTATTACTCACAACAACCTTAAAATTTAGTATATGAAGTTTATGATCTAATATGTCGAATTGGAAAGTGTTTAGAATCTTTAGAATATGAATGTAAGAGTAGAGCTAGAGTTATAACTTTCTTTAATATTGTTGTCAGATCAACTATTCTAGCTTTTATAACCTTTTCAAGATCATCTTTGATATAAAGTTGGACATTTTTATGAAAAAAATCTCTATACTACAATCAATTCAAACAAGAAAACCTTAAAGATGATACTCAAGATTTGATCATTTTATTGCAAATACAAAATCAATGCTCTTTATTATATTATCTCACTATGGTACTTTTTATATAAATAAATAAATAAAAAATAATGTTAAAATTATTGATTGTCAATTATCTTTTAACAAATCAATAGGATTAATTTTTTTATAATCAAGAATAGGTTGTATGGAGATTTTGGTTCTATTCTTCTATAGATCAAAGGTAATGTGGGACTTGTCTTCTCCTTAATTGATTATGGCATCTAAATTCTTTATCCATGACTTACTAAATAATAAGAAAAAAAAATCCTTTGATGTATGCATCCAAATGATATGATATACCACTACATATTCTTCTTCTTTAATCCATATCTTATAATTTTCTATTTGGCTCACATAAATAGATGGACTTTGATTTATTATATTGATAACAAAGAGAGATGGGCTTGTAATATTTAGTCCTAATATTTCCATGGTTTTAAAGAAAATAATGTTCAAACCACTCTCACCATCCAAAATGGTATAAAGTGTTATTTTATCCACAATAAAAACCTCAATTTTAATTGCTTTTATGTCACTTCATTTCATATAAGCATCTATTTTTGCCACCACAAATTTTAAGCCTTATCTGATTTTTCATAGAAATATGGTTTTTTAGTGCCTTCTTAAGCATTGGAGAAATATTCAATAGTTAAAAAACCACGATATTTTTATTTAATTTTCTAAAATCATTCCATAAGTTATAAGTTCTTATAGTAGATTTTTCTCTATTTTTATATTATTGAGAGATTTTAACTATGGAGATATTAAAAAACCTCTCAACTATGATTATTCGGATTAATACTTGGCTCATGTACAACACTAGGATTTGAAAGGATAATTCTGCAACTGAGAGATAAAACCTCACAAATTTAGCCATATTATTTTAATTTAAATCTAAATCTGAGAAGCAAGGTGGTCTTTTTGAAGCACTATTCTCTTTTTTATGATGGACATATAAAGATGTGGTTCTAAATCTAATCATTACTACTAGAATTGATACCATAGGTAGGTTCTTTTTTTTTTGATTAATTATTTAAAAAATCTATTAAATTTAATTTAAAAATAAGCTTTAATTGATATTAGATTGGGCAAAATTTTGAATAGCTTCCAACTCTCTTAAGGATTGAGACACAAATTTCACATCTTGAGATCTTTGGCCTTATCTTGATTAGTTAGAAAGATTTTAATCTTAACCTAAATTTAGTAAAATATATTAAGAATTAATTTGTAGTCCATCAGGCATATTTTGATTTTATCTATTATTTTTATAGTCATAGTACAAATTTGGAGACCTTGGATTATTATCTATTGGAGGTCGTCCTCTTTCTCTACAATTGTCAAATGACTATTGAGGATATTTATCATGTAGGGGTTATAAAAAAAACCACTCTATCTAGTTTTCTACAAAATTTTGTGGAATGATTATTATCACAATTTTCTCACTTGGTTTCAATCTAACATTAACCAAATGGATATCTTTTTCTACAAAATACATGAAATTCTACTTGTTTTCTTACTTCATTCATTAGACCTTAGTTCTTAAAATTACATCCTTCTTGTCTTATATTATATTCTCAAAAGATTTGATTTTTGTATAGAAGGTCATATGGTTGGGGACATTGATTTTGTAAGAGCATGAAGTTACAAAATTGGATTGAATGTCCAGAGTGTCTACATTAAATACACTACAATTTTGTTATATGTCTTCTTGACTCAGTGGGATGTAGAGAAGGATTGGGGTTGGAATTTCTAGCTAATCCAACTAATTGTTTTATCATCAATATCATTTAATAAAAGATTTAGATTTGAAATTCTAGTTGAAATAACATCATTTCTTTTTATAAATCCTCCTTCTACCTATTATTTTCAATAGGATAGGTCAAAGCTAATGAAAGAAGTGGACGTTGAATATTTAAAAATAATGGATAAGAACTAATGGTGATTGTTTATGTATCTGAGAGTTTGATGCATAAAGAATCTTAGCATGTATAAATATAAAGTTATGGATATTATGGTCTTCTTTATGCCACAGCCTTTTATGCTCTTTGTTTATTTGTTTTACTTCCTTTATTGCATGTTTGACCGCTATAAGATCTTTAGGACATGTATAAAAGATTTCTTTAATGGTTTCTCCTTTAGCAAATCTTTGAATGAAGAAATGCTTTGAAGTATCATCAATGAATAAGGTTCCTACGAACCTTATCACCACTTATTCAAAACATCAAATATACAATTTAATGTCTCTATTCTTTCCTTGTCTAAGAGAAGATAAAGCAATTAAGATTGTACTTTGACCTATTGGATGATAGTTCTTCTCTTTCTATTCCATTTAGATCCATTGTTTTTTATAGTTGAGGCAAATGAACACCCTTTTGATCCAAATGATTTGTACTATCTACCAAGGAATTTAAAAAATAAAAAATAAAAAAATCTTTTGAATCCTTTTCAAGGTCTTTTAAAGAAAGGTCTTCAAATTCTTCAAAGAGATTTTTAGGCGTATTTAAATCAGGTCCAAGAGTTGAAGTCTTAATGTTTGGTAAGGGAGGTCTCAGAATTCTTAAGGATTTTGGATTTTTCAAAGTTTGTAATAATATAAGTTTATAAGACCTAGTAGAGCAATATATTAAACTTCTACAACGACAACATCATCTATAAAAATTAAAAATTAAAAAAATCAAACAAGTCAAAAAAAATAACTTATAGAATTTACTTTTTTTATTGTCTTATGCTCATCAACTTGCATTCTACTTAAATATTTCTTCCAAGAAGGAAAGAAAACACAACAAAAATAACCTAAAAAAAGACTGCTTACTTGAATATTACTCCAAACAAGGTTTTTTTTTCTTAGATTTTTATACAATACAATCTTATGTGGGCATGATCTTCAACATTATTCAATGCAAAGACATTCCATTGCTAGCAAGGAGCTTGAGCAATAGTTTTTAATCCTTTACATTAATGTAGTTAGGAAATTATCCATTACTTGATTAATGATGAAAGTACTGGACAAAAAAGTTCTTTACATACATTAATCCAACTTGAAGAAGAATTCATCTAGTTGCATTGTCAACCACCCTATCACTTATCAACAAATCAATATGAAAAAATTCTAAAAAAATCCCCTTAATTGATGATGGATTAGATTTAAAAGATAAGATCACAAGTGAAGATTCTATTCTTACCTACTACATTCAAGTCCTAAAAGAGGGAATAGATGAATATCTCTTTTATTTCTTCTTTCTAGCTTCTATCTTCCAACTCTTTGCTCTTTGCTTCTTACTCCACATGTATATATTAAAATTTTAAATAATTAAAATAATTCACAAATACTAAAAAACTTACTTGAATTTTTTTCTTATTTATTTTTTCAATACTAAGTTTCTTCTTCTAGCTCTTTGCTCTTCAATTCAATATTTATGTTACTTTAATAAGAATTTAAAAGCTTAATTGATTGTTCCAAGAAGACTTACCTTGAGAATGTAGCCTTTGAACTTTAATTCTTTCCTTTCTTCTTTTTTCTTTCACATCACCTCTTCTTTGTTTTACTTACATCTTCCAAATAATTTTTTCTTGAATTATTGATGAAATAACTCTTGAAATATTGTTGAAGAATTCTTTTTATACTACACCTATGAATAGAAGGGGTGTAGCGGGTGGAGAGGGTGATTAAATTTTTCTGCTACTAGAGAATTGCTGCCAACAAGGAATTTATAATTAAATGAAAAGAGAAGATACAAGGGATAGAGAGGGTGATTAAATCTCTTCAATCACTAGAGATGGGCCTTCAACGAGGAATTGATAAGGAAAGAAAGTAATAACCAATCTTGAAGAAGAGGTTCACCTTGGATGAAGATCCTTGTCTAATCCTAATTTAATTCTAGTCATTCAAATAACTCCAAATCTTTAATTAAGCTTCTTTATTTTATTCTAAAATTCTTCAAGCTCACTCTTTAATTTGAATTCCTACAAAACAATAATCCTCAACAATACCAAAAGATTGTACATGCATAAGATAAAATAGTTTAGAAATGTAAATCAATAAGATAATTGCCTTCCAATCAAGCCTAAGACTTATAAGATAAATTCTTCCGGCAAACATACCAAAATATGAGCTAAAATAAACCTCCACTAATTAGAAGTTTATTCTAATTCACCACAAGTGAATTGGCTACATAAATTTTAGAAGTTAGAATTATCAATTGAATCCTAATCAATTCACTCTTTAATCTTCTTTATTACCCAAGTAATTAAGTCCAACTTCTACTATTAACTTGGAATAATATTTTTTTATAATTTGCATATATCAAAATTCTTCTTTTAATCCTTAATTCAATTATCATTAGTATTATTTTGTTTGATTTTATATTATTTGGATTAATTTTCATCCATAAAAATATCATCCTAATATAAATTTTCCTCAATGAATGACTTCTCATCCATGAATAACTTATCATCCAATTTAAGTTCATCTAAATTCAAAATTCATGCATATTAAAAATATTCATCCAATCCATTGATTTTTCATCCATATACAAAATCATCCAATTTGACCTAAATTCTTTTAACCTAATTTTTTCAAGTCTACTTCAATTGACCTGATCTAACTTCATCCATCCGAGAGCCTCACTGGATCGGAAGGGGTTGGCTCCTTAGTTGACTCCACCAGGGTCTACATGCTTCGCCACCCTGCTTACGATCAACACCAAGCCACAGCACGCGCAATGTAGCTGTAGGCGATAGACGGCACATTTTTATCCACACAAGCGGCAGCTCCTCTGCCATGGTCATTATCCGCCATAGTTCCACGATCGATAAAGCTCTCCGCATTAGTCTTGATCAGTGATCCAAATCGAATTCTTCACCAATACCGTCTTGCGCCTTTCGCCAGATCACTTCACGAGGCTCTTTCCTTCACTGGGCGATTGGACGATGGTATGGCAGCAATGCTTGTTGTTGGATTGGTGCAATTTCCATCACAACCACCCTCAATGCACCTTGTCTCCAAGGAGGATACCGCGATTCAATGCAGGAGGGGACACTGGAATGCCACCGCCAACTACTTCTGAATCACGTTGACAAGTCTAGATCATTGACTTTAAAATTCAATCCAAATCAAAACCTTGGTATTTTACGTAGAGGGACAACAACAATGCCGACATAGAATCGCAAGGAATTTGGATTTTTTACCGCTGCTTTAAGAAAAACCAAGAGCGTGGTCCACTAGCCACAGTGCAAATCAAAGACTGTTCTAGCCGTAGGTCCCACCAAGTTGGAACAGAAGAAAATAACAAGACACAGCCTTGTCGCCTCGACCTGTGCAATGCCGCCCTGCAACTCTTGGCAATGTAATAATGCCAACTCTTAAGCCGCACAACATAAGGTAACAAAAACAAGAAGCTTCAATCTAGAGTCGGACAGCACCCCACCGACCCTCTTGGTGCCTCAATGGCATCGCGAGAGATTCATTTCCATAGCAAATCAGCCACACGGAAGTTACAATTTACTTGTGATGTTGAACATTAACAAAACGAAGACAACTCAAAGACCTCCACTGAAACAAAACCAAAACATCGCAGCAGTTGCAAGATCGCCGCATTGCAGCTCATAGAAGCAAAACCTAATCTGAGCTGAATCACGCTCCAATCGAACCTCAATCCAGACTTGAACACTGAAAACAATAACACTGCCGTGAATTCAGCCGGTACTTCCCTGTCGCTCATCGAGCGAGTAGACTGCTTACAAGAAGGCAACAAGTAGCCCACACCTACTCCCTTCGATGGGCAACACACCAATAACAAGACCTGATCCAACGCCCACCAGCAATCGCTCTGATCATAGCAGAATTGACGCTTCCTTTAAGACGGAAACGGCGAGGAGAAAACAAAAAAAAAACAAAACAAAACAAAACAAAAAAAACAAAGGAATATTACACCGAAACATTCCAACAGATCAAAAAAAAAATCACAAGGGAAAAGTCCTCCAAAGCGCCAGAGTCTAGGACAAAGAAAATCGAGAAGAATTAAAAAAATGAGGTAGAGAGATTTTTTTGTCTCGAATAACAGTTGAACCAACACATCCGCAGATCGAAGTCGGCAGGAACATCCTCCACGAAGCGCCAGTGCAACTCTTCTTGTTACGGAAGGGGAGAATTTTCTGTGTCACAACGTCTCCATCTACACTCTGACCGCATACACGTACAGAAGGAAAAAAATGCGCTCCGGAAGAAAATTCCAGAGCAATCTGAGCTTTTGGCACTCACAATCAAAAAACTCAAAAAAAATAAAAAAAAAGAAAAAAAAAAGAGAAGGGGATTCAGGGCGGCCTGGACCCCTATCAACGAGGAGGCTGTCGCCATTCAGGGGCAGCCTCTTGCCTTCTCGATCACCCTTCATTTTTAATTTTTATTTTATTTTATTTTATTATTATTATTTTTTCTTCTGTCCTTCTTTCTTTCTCTTCTCCTCTTGCTTTCTCTTCTTTCTCCTTCTTCCTTCTTTTCTTCTCTTCTCCATTCTTCCTATTACTTCTTTTGATCTTCTTTCTTTCTTACTTCATCTTTTTCTTTTTTTTCTTCTTCCTTCTACTCTTTTAATCTTTTTTTTTAAATTTTAATTATTTTTAATAACATATATCTATATATATATATATATATATATTAAGAATTATTAATAAAGTTTTTTTTTTTCTTTTGACAACAAGGGCTATTTTCATTAGACCATTATTTAATAGTAGATACCAAAAACATATCCACTATGGAAATTTGTCTTAATAAATTTTATCTTACATTGCATATTTGCTATTGATAATCTATGTCTATTTCTCTTAAAATATCTACTACTAACTTATAAAATTTGTGATTTTAAGCACAATAAGTGCATTTTTTATGTTAAATATCCAAGTGAGTTATTTTAGTAACTCATAGGTATATATAAAGTTATAGTATACATTATATTTGATACTATCACCTTTGTTTGTGATAGAAATATAAATTATTACTACAAAGTATAAGTTAATATGTCTATTATGTTTTCTTTACATAAATGCAAAATATTTTTTTGCTCCAAGTATGTGCACTTCTATGTATTTTGAACAACTTTTGAATAAATAATTTTCATATGTATACAAATTTTTTACTTGTTAAGACTTTTGATATCTATACAATTTACAAATTTCATACTTTGAAATGAGAATTTTGAATTTTTTTGTAATAAATTGCATTACATGAATATAATGTATTTTTTAATATCTAAGTGTATTTTTATCAAATATAATGTTGATTGATACATATTTTGTGATGATAGAATTTTAAAACATTAATTAAGATTATGAAAAAAAATTATAGCTTATTCATTAATTAAATTTTAATATTAAATTAATACATTATAAAATACTATTTTTAATCAATTTAAAGATTTATTAATAATATTAATTTAAAATTATTTATTTTTATAAAAGTTTAAACTATTGGCTAAATATGACATATAAATATTTAAATTTTAAGCTTATATTTTTTTAATATCTAATTATGAAATTTCAAAAATTATAAAAAATTTATACTTCTATTCATATATAAACAATTAATCTTTTTATAAGAAAATTTAAATTTAACCAATCATATCTAATTTCATATTAAAATAATCAATATTTATATCACAAAATCATTGCCTTGAGAATACAACTTCACATTCAAAGTTTCTTTCAAATATTGCATAATCTTTTTTACTACTATCAAATGCATTGTATCTAACTTCACCATATATTGATATATAGTGATTTAAAAAACTGTTTCAATGTTAATATATTTTGGAAAGAATGGTGTATTATAGATAAATTATAGTGAATAATAACACATGGTTTGTATAGCAAATAAAGTACTATTTTACAACTATCAAATAAGTTCAAGTTGAGAAGAATCTATTAGGTAATTGTAGAACTATGTTTAATTAAATATTTGGAGTAATATTGAAATAATTCTTTCAATGTGGTATCACGGACACAGAATACAGACTTGATATCTACCAAGAAGTTCAAGAAGAACTGGCAAGAACTAGATTAATCAGATGAATACAAGAACAACACCAGAGAGGTGAGCTAGAGCTCCAAGAGATGTGTTGTCGAGACTGAAGAACTCTTCAGCCTCGATCCCAATATATACTCCTATTTAGGAAGCTTCTCAAGCAACTTCTACTAACTAGGAAGCTTCTAGAAGGTTCCAGAGACTTGCTTCTAGAAGATTCTAGAAACTTATCTCTAGAAGGTTCTAAGGACTATGTCCCTAACATCTTCTACCAACTAAGAAGCTTCTAGAAGGTTCCAGAGACTTGCTTCTAGAAGGTTCTAGAAGCTTGTCTCTAGAAGGTTCTAGAAACTTGTCTCTAGAAGGTTCTAAGTATTATGTCCCTAACATCACCCCCTCTTTTAGCTTCGAGGTTTCTGAGAAGCAATGTTGTTGTCAATAAGTACCAACGTAAAAAAATGAAGATCTGTCGCATAACGTCTGCTATGAATTCCAACTGTTGTTCACGAGGTAAGTGGTTCATCGGCCCTTGAAGCCAACGGTAGTGGCCCACTCCTTCAACTTTTGACCAAGCATGAACTTCCGTGTCTTCATTGTGAAATTGTCCTGCAAATATGCCTTCTAGTTGACCATCGTAAATAGGCTCGGACTCAAATACAATCACCAGTGATCGGTTACTTGGTATCCTCCGTCGTCGTCGTGGTACAGGTGGTTCTTCATCTCGGGGTCGCCTTCGTGAACTAGTTGGTTGAGATAATCTGACTGGCATAGTATCTATCTCTTGGCTATCCATATTAGAAGACCAAACTATGGCTACTGAAAAAATTCTATTTTATCTTGGAGAAAATAACTACATCAACTACGAATTTTGGTGGTGCTCTCTCTCTTTCTTATATTCTTGGGTGAACAAGCTTCAGAAAGAAGCTATTGTCGAACCGACTTAGGTTTATGAGGATGTTGTTGATGAAACTCCTGTACCTTTTGCGGCGCATTGGTGAGATTTTCAGCTGGCTCCCACGTTTGCTCATTAATGTCATAGCCGCACCAATGAACAAGATACTCCAACTTGTCCCACCTTCACCGAGAATCTAGCACCTTTTCAACCTCGTATTCCTCGTGGTTCTCGATCTCAATACTAGGTGGCAGACATTGCACTCTTCCATGAAAAGATGACTCTCGATAAGGCTCCAACAAAGAAACATGAAAGACTGGATGTACCTTCATAGAAACCGGTAATTCCAGACGGTAAGCCACTGGATTGATTTGCTTTTGGATGATAAATGGTCCCAATCTTCGATAGTCCAACTTATCACATGGTCACTTGGTCTTGATATTCCGTCGAAGAAGCCATGCTTTATCTCCAATTTTGAAAGTAGGTGCTTGATTCTGAAATCTATCTGCAGACGCCTTGTAAGATTCTTGAGCGGATTGTAATTGAAGCTTCAACGTATTTTGAAGCTCTGATAGTTGTTTCGCAAATCCTTCAGCTGCTGGATTGTTATTTGTTGATGGACTAAATAAATCAAGCTTTGGATGATACCCATAGTTGGAAAAGAATGGTGTGTATTGAGTCGACGCATGGAGGGTGTTGTTATATACAAACTCGGCTAGCAGCAGATATGTGGTCCAATCGTCTTGCTGATAGTTGATGCTGCATCGTAAGTATTGTTCGAAGACTTGGTTCACCCGTTCCGTTTGACCGTCAGTTTGAGGATGAAAAGCCGAAGAAAGCTTGATATCCACCTTCAGTATCTCAAAGAGAGATCTCCAAAACTTTGATACGAACTGGGTTCCTCGATCTGATACGATATCATCTGGTAGTCCATGATATCGATACACATTATCGAGAAAGAGCCTTACTGTAACTTCACTAAATGATGTCTTCTTGCAAGGGACAAAGTGTGCCATTTTTGTAAGCCGATCTACCATGACAAAGATGCTGTCAAATGAGTTCGATGATGGTAGGTCCGTCATGAAGTCCATGGAAATTGAAGACCATGGTCGACGTGGAATCGGCAATGGCTGTAGGAGTCCATAAGGGCGATGCCGAGGATTCTTGGATCTTGAACAGATGTCGCAGGAGCGGACAAAATCTTTCACATCATTCCACATTTGGAACCACCAAGAATCTTGAGAAATAAGCTCCAAGGTCTTACTGAATCCAAAATATCTCGCAGTTGGAAAATCGTGGCGAGATTGAAGAACTCGGAGTCGTGCTGGTCCTTTTGAGATATATAACAGCTCTTCAAAGTATAAAAGATCTCCCTCCACCTTGAACTTGTCGTCATTGACACGGTGCTTAATATCAATGGCTACTGAATCTTCAATGGTTACGGCACGTACCTGATTCAGGAAGTCAGCATCAATTGGCATAATAGTAGCGCAAAGCTGAAATTACTCTAGCTTCAACAATGTCGTACATTGTTGATCAAACGCTGCTTCTCCAGCCTTTGGTACAAGATACGATCTCCTCAATAAGGCATCAGATAGTCTTTGCTGCTTTCCAGGTCGATAAGTGATAATAAAATCGAACCTAGATAGCAACATACTCCATCGAGCTTGACGTCGATTTAGAACTCGAGCCGACATGAAATACTCCAAATTCTTGTGATCCGTATATACGGTCACTGGATGTACAGCTCCTTCAAGAAAGTGACGCCATTCTTGGAAAGAATCCACTATAGCAAGAAGTTCCTTATCGTGGATCTCATAAATGATTTCAGCACCAAAGAACTTTCGAGAATAGAATGCAACCGGATGGAGCTTCTTATCTTCTCCCATTTGTGAAAGTACAGCTCCCAAAGCAAAATCCGAAGCATCAGTTTCTAAATAGAAGGCCTTTGTTAAGTCTGGATGTATCAAGATTAGAGCCATAGTAAATGCGGTCTTCAGGTTTTGAAACGCCTTCTCTGCTAGAGGTCCCCATTCCAGCTTATCCTTGCATGTCAACCGAGTGAGAGGAGCAGCAACTTGAGAGTAATTCTTGATAAAGATCCAATAGAAGTTGGCAAAACCAAGAAAGCATTGTACATCTCTAACCGTCTTCGGAACCTCCTAGGACACGATTGCTTCGACCTTCTTGGGGTCCATCTTCAAGCCTTCCGTAGTCGCAACGAACGCCAGAAACTCCATCTCTATTTGGTGAAATAAACACTTCTCCAACTTGGCATATAGTCCTCGCTCGCGTAGTTTCTCCAATACCAAACGAACGTATTTTTCATGCACTTCTTCATTTTTGGAGAATATCAAAATATCATCCAAATAGATGACGACAAAATCATCAAGGTAC